GTAAGATTTAAGTAGGTCGTAGGGAATTACAGTTTTACCTAGTATTACCAGTAAAGTTTATATCAAATAAGAACAAATACGACGTTTTTCAGTCTGCTAGTAATGAAACACGTGACTTCCTAATCTACTATAAGTTTACAAGCAATGCAGGATTATAATGAATCTTTTGAACAAATGATAACTGGCCAACAAATAGCCGAACTCCTTGATTGCTAATTAATGGTAATGATGAATTAGCAGATATTTGTTATTACGTTACATTAATGAAGTAAATATTCAATATATTAGAAGCTTACTCATAGATAGTAACTATAATTAATATCTTACTGGAAAAGGTGTAACAAGCCAGCTACACAATCAACTGTATCCGATAAACAGTGCATGATTGTTAATGTTTGGGGAATCACACTGGATCGAATTAATGTGATGGAATTTCTGTTAATTCCAACAAACGTTCACAACTAACGGTCAGTGATAATTACACACGTTTATTCAACTAGTTGAACATATTTTGTTTTGTAAAACGTGATATATGTTCGTTACTGTTCTGAATGAAGCTTTTGCTACTGAATTGATGCTGAAATGGAGTATAGAAGATAGGAATAAGATACGATACTAAATAATGCATCGCATTATATATTAAACAGCATCTCTGTGTATTCATGATACATTACGAACATGAAATACAATAACATTTTGAATACTCAATGATTTAAATTGTTTCACTTCACGATAATATTTTATTCCAGAATTAATGGACATATCTGTTAAATGAACACACAGAAACACAAATTGAGGACGAAAATTACACATTAACCTATACATCGCCCTAAACATCTTTCGTAACAGGAAGACGATGTCGTATTAATGTTTATCCGCATATGTATCTGAAACTCTGTTTGAATGGTCAAGAAATTATCCGGATTTTATGGAACCCGGAGGTAATTCCTATGTTCATAAGAGTCCGCACGTTGGAAAAGTTTTGTTGTTCATGCTTGTTTTTAGTAGAATAATCTCCATGTGAATTAAAACTACTCATTATTATTTGGTTTGTTGTAAGTATTTGGAAATAACTCTTGTTTTGAGAATTTTATTTGAAGATGCTATTTCTCTCCTGAGTTTCGTCTTGTGAGTGGTTTCTTTCTCTTGGCAATTATGTTTAGTTATGCAAGTTTTAAACTGTCCGACAATACTGCATCTCCACTGTTACAGCTAACATCATTAACTTTCAAACAAAATGTTATTTTAACGCAAAATTCAAGCTCAATCACATGCTAAATCTTTTCACTGAATACTTAAGAAATGCTTGTATGTTGATCTGAAATAGAAAAATATTATTACTTACATAAAGTAGTTTAACCGTGGATTACTGTAATAAATGTGTAAATTCATTTGTTTAAATATTATTAATCGGATATTTCTGAAACAGGGAATGTTTTTCTTAGTAACTATTTTTAAATATGATTTCTGTATCAGTATCTCTATTTGATTTTAACGCGTCATTCTGTAATATTGCATACATACACAATAGAGAATTATTAGTCTGTTACAATATTTTGAGAACAGGTGGGTTTTGCTAGTGCTTCCTGTGTGTTCTTTAATATTTGTTGAAGACAGATAAAGTTGATATGAATTTGCAAAGAGGAACTTCTGTATTAAAAGCACATAACAGTGATTGACGTATTTAAGCCTTGTAAGTGAAGATAATTTAAATTAACTGAAACGATAGATACTATCAGTTTACATGGAGATTTATAGTTATAATTATTGGTTACCAATTTGAGGTTTCATTTTATAAAAAATTCTTGCATATTGCCTAAAATAGACAGTCGCTTTCTTAAGCATGACTGCAAATTATGCTGTCATCCAAACCTACAATTATGTGTGTACTTGAGAGTATCGTAAAAAATCAATAATAAATGTACGTCATTATTATATACGTGTATTATTTATTCCATATCTCTAATTAAAAATTTATACATAATAGTTAAAGATAAATGTAGACATAACTTTCTAATTTGGCCATCGAGCATAATTTAAAAGTTTATGTCCTGTTGAAAAAAATTGAAGATTTTCAAAGTATTAACATATTTACATTGATAAGGGCATTAATTACTATCAATGAAAACTTTTGGTCACTAACTTCATTGAAGAAAATTATATAGATTTATATTTCCGACGAATTACAAGAAAATAGGGTGCAATATAGCAATTTTAAGTTCAAACCTCCGAAGAATCCAATGTAACCAAAATTAGTTTAGTATTCGGTTGGTACGTGTTCATAATTCCGACAGGGAAATCTGTCTTACCTGAGAACATTGAACTTTTTAACTCTCCACCACCCTTCAAAGAAAATTCAGTTTATTATCCTGGAATTATGAGAGGTAAAATTCTTCCACCTCTGCGAGCACACTATCAGAATGACACGTTTTGTAGAACAGGAGATACCAGGCTAGTTTACGTGACTGAATCCTTCATGCATCTTCTCTGTTCATTCAGGGAAATGAAGGAAATATACAATCACTATTTATAATTACTGACAGATTAAAAAATGTTACATGGCATGTGGTTCAAATACATTTGATAAAATCTGCATTATATCAAGGAGAATTTATTATTTGTTTCCTTGTTTGCTTGCCACCACAAAGGACTATGTTCTCAGTAATTAGTAAAATAATAGAGTGTTTTATTTTAAAGGTACTGTTAAAATTGAACAGCTTTTAGAATAATTATATATTTGTGATAACGTAGTACGTATGTAGGGCAGCTGATGATTTATTATTGTTCAACAGCAGAATGGTAGAGGAAATATATGAAAATGGAGCTAAAAAGATAAAAGTCCAGAAGAGACAAACGAAGTGTGACAGTTTGGGGGACATCAAGATAGAAATAGATAACCTTTCTTAAAATTTGAAAGGAAATTTTCTACTGTATGCTAAGAAACAGCCATTTATCATTCCAATAAAAAATAATTTGTGTGATAATTATATATTATGCAATTACAATATGCAAATAATGATTTTTTTTATAAAGTGGCATGACCTAATCAATATTCAACTTATCAACTGAAAGCCACTAAATAACATTTGTGTATTGGACTTGATTAATCAATTGCTTTCTTGAAACTTCTGGTTTTAGCGGAAGCCGAGTCTTAACTGACTCTACCAAGCCGCCGGTCTGAGTGGAACGACGGGTCGTTCCTACTCAATTTCGTTTCCATGCATTAATGACGGAAGAACCGAGTGCTTATTAAACCAGCATGCATTGCGACTAGCAGTAGGAACGTCCCATTCATTCAGATACCTGAAACTGTTTACACAACACCCCATTTTAACATATTCACGCATCTTTCTGCCCTCATTATAATGTACATTATTTCGACCTCGGAGGGCTTCCAGGAATATCTACCACCTACCTGCATTTATAATCCTTCTTACTTTACTATTAGGCCCTTTCATAATTTTGAAACAATGAACTTTCTTTTCGTGTAATATTCTTTTCGCTAACACCTGTGCTTATTAGCTAACTTAAAAACTGATTGAACTTTATTTGAAATAAATACGGATTCAACCATAAGCATTTAACCGTAGGAAAGATTTAAAATAATACCGAAACCGAGTTTATATTTTTAGATGAATTACCTATAATTCTCAACACTGAATCTCCATAGTCTCTTTCGAAACTTCGTACGTATACGCCTATATATATATACACATATACTTGTAACGGTATTTACATTCATAGACCTACTCAATATCACAAACCTTATGCCCCACTGAACTGTGAAATATTAGTGAAATGCATCATGAGGTAAACTTTAAGTTGTTAAAACCAAACGCTTAGCCAAATTTAACCAATACCAAATTTAAATGACTCATTATATGAAGTCACGTATTCAAATAATATTTATTTTTTTGTGTAGACTGGACGTACGTGGCTCAGGATAGATGCGAGCTTTTGTGGACATGTCAACATATTTTAGAGTCTGTAAAAGACAATAAATTTATTGATCGTTTGACTGACTACTAGTTTCTCAAGGAGGACTCAACTCCATGAAATTAGCAGCGCTTGTAATATTGTTGGTATAAAATAATTTGAAGAAATACACTCACTCGATACGAATCAGTGCTTTTATGAAGATATGAATAGACATTCTACAGGAATAATATTATATTCCTTCACGTTCCGTAACCAATTTAGCAGGACTTTACAAGTGTCAACTGTTTCGCCTATAATTCGGGCTTCCCCTGTCCAGTTGTCCAGTTAAAAAATAATTTTTGATTAGCAAAGAATACTTCGTCCATCCTATTCACTGCAGACTTTTCATATATGAATATTCAAAGTTTCAGTACGTAACATTATCTCAAGCTTATAATTTGTAGTCCATAGGTCCATTTTCAACATTCCCTTGTCCACAAAGGCATGGCGTTTCATCCGGCAGTTGATGCACTAGACGACACGCAAGTTTGGCGAGTACGGAAAACCGAAAAGGGGCGGTCTTCCAGTTTACGGGTTTGGTATAGGATTAACAACTCCCTCACAGTTAATTTTATGCGCCAGGATACATTTACATAGATTGTTAATACAGTGATTTCATGTGCTGGGTATGTGGTTAGAATAAAATAAAACAAACGACGCATACAAAATTTGTTTAGGTGAGCTGGAAGATCGGGAGGGGACTGAAGGGGATTATTTTGATAGACCTTATGGCACGTTTTGCGGGATAAGATGGGAATGAAAATTCTTACCTATACAATATTAATTTACAGGTCTGTTCCTGTCCAGTTACATATTGCATCATGCCACCTTTACATTGACTTTTCAATAAATACTTTTTATTCCAACTGTGAGATTCCATTCTCGATTTCAGTAATAATATTTTATACTGAGTTTTGTTTATGAAATTGATGAAGATTATTTTTTTATATTGCTCCATTTGGATTCCTTTTTATGCAGTGAACAATGATAAAATTAAAATATAATTGTTATGCGTGTTGCAGATGATGAACCAACAGGAGCTGCGTAGAACAATGCGCCCGCAACGCCTGGGATAGCGCAAACATGAAGAGGATCTGTCTGCTGACAATCACAATGCAGTTCGTCACGTGTATAACGACAGGTAGGGACACACGACTCTAGACAACGAATAATTTATACAAAACAGTTAGTAGGGAAGCCTGAAGAGAAGAGATCAATAGTGTAGTTAGGAGATTTGTTAAAACGAATATAATAGGAGTAGGATTTGATTATACGGATTAAATAAAACTGGTTAAAGCTGTGGTTTAATGACACGCTTTTGCTAACACGTTGATGAAGCAGTGGGTTTTATACAGAGCTGGAAACTTATTAATTAGTTAAAATCTCAATTGCAACTCTCCATAATAAGTTTGGTAATTGACTAATTTATTATTGGTTTTATTAAACTTCAAATCTGATTGTATTTTATGTACAAAGCTGTGTGTAATGGTGAACTGATGGACGAGTATAATTCAGGTATAAATTTTATGTTGTAAGGAAAGTGCTTAAAAGAGGCAGAGGACGGTTTTAAGGCAATGTTATTATTTTAAGTGAAGAGACCAGGGAAAATCTAACTTAAATATGACTCATGATTGTAGTTACTCCACTAAATTGGAATCGGATAGCTCCTGAACGGAAAATAAATTACATATCTTAGTTTCTTCACGTAAAGATAAGTCACCACTTAAGGTTGTGAAGAGATTAACTACAGAAACCTGTTACAAAATAAATTGATAGGCAGTGTGGGACACAGCCGCAGTTATTTTCGTGAAAACGTCAATCGTGTATAGTATATTGAAATTAAACAAAATTTTTGTTTTAAATCGTTTAATTCATTTGCAACTTACATTTATTGAATACAGGGTAGTGGTATGAGAAGTAGGATACATATGGCTCTGAAATTGTCTGAATACCTCTTGCAAATGTCAAATCTATACAAGTTTTCCCTTGCGTGGTTGGTTTGTCCAAATCATTCACTAGTTGAAGTTTAAAGAATTTCTGAATGTATGCACGTAAGAGTTCTAAATTTTCGTCACTAGTGTTGAAATCACCCATCAATACGAGCGGCATGTCACTATTATATTCTAGTTCGAATGTCTCTGCGTATTCACTGTATTGTATCAATTGGCTTATAATGAGCAGCTTGATGTCAGTATAAGAGAGTCCAGGGTATATATAGATGCTTGCCAAAATTATTTGATGATTGCTGGGTATAGTAATCTTTGTTATGGCAATTTCTCCAATATGCGACCTTACACGCAACACTGCCTCGAAATGTGGCAAGAATTTGATTTCAACTGGGATACACGATCATTCTAAGTTGACTCTGGAGATGTACACTGCTACGCCACCACCTCGCCCCTCGTTTCTTTCACAACATTTGGATACAATGCGAGAGAAGTCTGCCATGTCGATAGAGTCTGGGTCTCGTAACCAAGTCTCAGTCAGAACGATAATGTCCGTCTTCGGTATTAACTCGTCTGTCTGTAGGTCCCCCACATGCGCTTGCAGACTCTGTGCGTTTAGATTGACTATGATGAATGTCGACATAGGGCGTGGAGGCTCGTCAGATGCCGCCTGAGTTGTCCGAGCGCGCTTACGTTGCCTATATTCGCGGCAGCACTGCGCGTGGGTTTTGGGTCCGGGCCCGGCGTTTTCGGTGTTATTCTCTTTGGAATTTTGTGCTCTACGAATTCGTGCCCGATTTTTGTAATTCTGGTTTTATTTTGCCCTCATATATCGCGACATTTTAAGAAAATCGGGAAATTTTCAAACGTTTTCAAATTCACAGCCTCGTATCTTTTTGAGTTTTTGAGATACACACTTGGAGGCAGGATTAATTGTAAAATATACACTCCTCTTCAAATCAACACTTGGTTCATTCGGATCGGATAATTAGTCTCTGAGATATGATCCCGTTTATGGACACGTCTCGAATCTGGAAAGTCGAAAATCGTGGGTTAAATTT